AGTCGTCTAACAGCATGTCAGAATCGCGCTTTGGTCCCTATTTCTCTGCATATTAAAGCAGACAACTCAGCAGGCTCGATCACTGCTTCCAATAACTGCAGTGTAAGTTCGGCCGAAAATATAAATTCCTCGAATTTCAGTAGATTTTAAGAAATATTTTCAAGTTGCTTTCGTCATCAAACAAAAGCCTACTTACACTAATTTAATATAATAACACTCACCAACCAAAGCGGGGAACGCATTCGGCCTGCTATTAGATCCAACCTTGTTGAACTTGCGGAACTCTATGGCTTCCATTCCGTGCAGAAGAAAATTCACTGTTCTCGGTAGACCTCTGGAAAATGGCTTCACTATACAACTATTCCGTGTTGTAACGATAGAAAGAAAAATAAATAAAATGACCTTATAAATTGCGTTGATGCCACGGAGTCAATCACCATTAACACCACATCGGGATTTCTCTGCGGGTCGAGATTTTTATCCGTTGCTGACCTAAGTAGATTTCATCGTAGCTATTTCATTTTCTATCCCTTTGTTGGATCGCTGCCAGAGTTTGTGGGTGATATTGTCCAAAGTTTTCAGGGTGTGTGGAATATTATTCACATGTGCTCCACTTTTGCACATCCAGCTAGTAAGGACGCCAGGAGCTCGCGAATAGGACTGAATCGTAACTTATTCCACGAAAAAGCCGACGGGCAACGCCTATGCGGCACATGCTTGGTGTCGCTGCAGCATGAGCATGGCAAAGCGGGTGGGGCTGGCTTCCCGTCCGAGTACTGAGGAGACTAGAAACTATCTTGAACGCTACAGATAAATGTTAAACAGCATGGGGACATTTAGGGAAGGAGAGAATGTTAAATGCTTCCGGCGTTCGACTGAAGATATAAGAGGGATGACAATGTGCCATCGAATTCACTTCCAAACACGGATACTTCCATTAAGGAGGGGTGAAAGCAGCATTGGCCACCACTGTCCAGTCCTCATCTGTCAACAGCCATTGCCCTCTCGCGCACAGCTTGCGCGCCGCCGATGATCTTTTTTCTCCTCATATATCTTTACGCTGAACTTGCCTTCCTGGGAAAAAACTTGTAAAGTTATGCAAAAGCACGATCTGTTCACCCCCTCAAAGGGAGTTTACGATCGCTCACCATGCATGTTGACAAAAACTGGTGAATTATACTAGCGAACTTGCAGAACACCCTCTAAGCCAAACAATGTCTGCAAAAGTATTCTACTGGTAGACCAGTTATAGCCTACAGGTTCCAAGCTCTACGATTTGCAACCTTTAAATGCATCTTCAAACTGTGGGCTTATCTCAGCTTTAAAAGACCCACGGTTCTGTATCTCCCGACAAAAAGCCGTCCTTTACGTAGAAGCGAACAAGAGTAAAATGAAAAAGCTCTCGCCGCGACCAGACTTTTTTGAGATTGGCACGCATTTTACTGTTTTTACCCCGGCCAAAGCAGAGCCTGGCTCCAAACAAACGCGTGCATGGCAAACAAGTCTGGTTCTCCTGCGAATGCTCACGAAAATTGCAAGAAATTTTCAATACCGGAACTCAAGGAGAGTATTGAAAATGAGCTTTCATTGTATCGCATCACAGAAGAACCGATCGATGCTATCGGAGTCTTCCAGCGTATTACATAGTAATACCCATCTAATATCCACCCTAGAAATTATGTGGAAAGATCTCACTTCTGCTCTGCTATCTGCATGTGAATATATCGTCTGGTTTCATTGCCTGATTTGCAGTGCGTTTCGACAAAATCGCAATTAAATACAGTGTCGTTGATTGGTGACCATGCTCCCATTGTGTAGTGGTTGTCACCAGCGTATTCGATGCAACTGAAAGATAATTTTTTGGAAACCTTAGTAACATTGAATGTGGACGGACCATCAAAAATATGCAGCGGATTTTGTAGATATTTCCACAAAGATGAGCCATAAAACAGTTACTGATGATATGAAAGTACTTTTAAATTTGCTGTATAATAATGCAAACAAGCATCTTGATGGCTTTCAATGTTTTTAAGTTTTTTACACGGACTTAGACTAAGACTTCTCTTAAGAAAAATACTGAGAGCCCGTATCCCACTGCCCTTCCCTTCCCGTATCGTCCACCACCCACCCTCCCCCTTCCCACCCTATTTTTTCACCTTTTTTCACCTTTATATTCATGTATGATCACAATAACACTGTGAAATAATAGTATACATTGAAAGTTTTTTTTCTTGCCTCTTACTTCTTCGCCCTGTATCATTCCCATTGTCATTCCGTGGTCACTTCTAATTAGCTAACTGGTCATTAATGCATGCAATAGTTCAAATAAATAAATAAATAAATCCGCAAAGTTTGTCTGTTGATGTGCGTGTGCGGTAATTCACGACTTTCTTAATAGCGCTGAAGCGCTCAAACTTCATAAGTGATGTAGGGGGTCGGGCAGGAACATTATTGGTGGGTGGCAGGAAGTGATAAGAGCTGATAAGATACCATACCGGGGCTTAGAAGGGGAGGGTCACCAACTTCATAGAGCGGGCCACAGCGAGAACGGGACGTAGGTTCCGAGAGGTAAGATAGGAGGCAGGTTGGGAATATTATTGGTGGGTGGCTGGACGTGATAACAGCTGATAAGATACCACAGGGATCCTTAGAAAGGAAAGGCCACCAACTATAGCGCGGGCATCAGCAACGATGGGGCGTTGGTTCCAAGAGGGAAGATAGGGTGCAGGATGGGAATATTATTGGTGGGTGGCAGAAAGTGATAAACAGCTGATAAGACACCGTAGGGGGCCACTTCTCAAACTTCTCAACTGCTTCCAGCAGGTGGTTAGGGAGCATGGTGGGAAATTTCGGTGGTGGTAGATAAATTCTGATAGTGTCCGACAAGGCAGAGCCAGTATCTATCGCATCCTTACTCTGCTTTGCGAGTAAAGTCGACCATCGTTGCCAAAGAACCGAAGGGCTCAGTGAGCCAAGTTGTTTCCAGCCCTTAGCGAAATCCCTTAGTTTGGCGGTTGAAATTGATTCGACCGCTAAACTCTGGAGTTTCACCCAAAATTAAAGGCCGAGATGTTTGTCAGTGAGAGATGATAAGAGCCACCAGCAGACGGATAAGTGAAAGCTGCTCAACGGAAGTACTAGATGTAAGAGCATTCACTACGATTTCGATATTGTCACCATCGAAACACTTTCAGCCTTTAAGCTGTTCCAACGAATGACGGGTGTTGTTAGAAATGTGATAAGCCAGAAGTGCTTATTGAGGAGGCCAAAAATGATGAAATGGGCCGTATTTCGAAGCATGGGAATTAAGCCAAGTGTTAGTGGTTAGCACAGAAGTCCTGTCAGTAAGGAGTACCATAGGTTGAACCATGCGCGCAGTAGTGCGCGTCAGCCAAGCTGGTTCAGTAATAAAGTAGTTGAACAGAATAACAGAGTTGTGCAAGAGTGGTACTTACAACCCTTTGGCAACAGGACTCACCTTCTTTGGGAAGTAGGAAATTCTTGCAAAAGTGGCTAAGAAGAGAGTAGTTGCGAACGAGATTCTTCAAAAGGTCCAGTTAAGGTTATCGAAAACAGCCGACCTCCACAG